TTGAGACATTACAAACACGTTCTCCATAAAAGATTATTCAAGTAATTTTTTGCATAATGGAATTTTAATGTACTGCACCATTAACTTAACAGTTCTGGATCTTTAGGTGCATATACAGTATACGTGTAAAAACTTGTCTGACTGAGTCATTTTAATATATTTGCCATTTCGTAGGACAAGCAGAAGTCAATGAGTGTTGTGATAGAATGCCTGTTTATGAACATCATAATTGAGCTGTGAACCCATTCAGGTATAAAATGAATGCATGAAGCGAAAAATTTTCTTTTTTTCCCCAGGTGACATGTTTCAGTAGTTGAACTGAACCCTAGGAGAGGCTTTTGAACACTGATTCAAGTAAGAAGTACAGTTTGAGATACTGTTGAGATCTTATCTGAAGCTTTTAAGGAGACACACTTGAGATAATCGCACTCTCATTGCTGTCTAGAAGAAGCAGTTATATTACAGTGATTCTCATTGTGATTGTCTCTCCTGTGGAGGTTAAAGGAGAATGTTGGGACAAACGTTCCTCTAAGCAGCTGTACGTTTTGATGTTTTATGGTTTGATCCAGACTGCTGTTTAGTTGTGTTGACAATAGCAGTCTGTTTTATTCCAGAGCTCTGTGTGTGATTTCTTCTCTCTCTGTTGACTTTGGCTAAATGAGCATCTATATTTCTCTCCCCATTCACTTTATTTAGTTGTTTCTCATTCAGTAGCTCCATCCCTGTTGCTGTTTACACAGATTACTACAGCATTTAATTTCCTAACTCCCTTTTTTTCTTTATTTCTCTCTGCCAGAAAATTAATCCTACTCCACTACCATTTCTCAAACAAAGAGCCTCTCTATTCAAAACCAATCATGCACCAGGTCAGACATGTTTCTTCACCAAACAACTAACAAAGCCATTCAAAACAAACAAAGAAGCAATAAATTCATAAACATCTGTGGTTTTTAATTCGAGTGATAAGAAACAAACACAATAAATGAGTTTATCCGAGCAAAACTAACAACCTGAGCATAAAACTAGTTAAAATGCAGCTGAAATAACATGCTAAAACTGTGATGATGCACTCCGAGAAGACTTTGAATTTGGGTATGTTAAGGATAGACAATAGAGACAGCCAGGGACTGAGACGTTTACACAAAGCCTCACGGCACAAAAGACTCTGGAAGTTGGCAAAAGAGCAGCTATAAGAAACAAAGCAGTAGAGAAAGCAGCCGTTAGATAGACCAGGAGCTGTAACTCTAACCAAAACAGTCTTAGTTGTTCAGCACATGAGAGAGAGAGAGGATACAGAGAAAGAGAATGAAAAAGCTGTAAAGATGAGGACAAAGAGACTGCTGAGTGCTGATGAAGTGTGCTGAGAGAGAGAAAAGTGAACTTGTACTCACATTCAGAGCTGGAGAAGTGTGCTGTGGAGTTGTGTTAGTGAAACAGGCAGCAGCGTGTGTGAGTGTGTGTATGTGTATGTGTGTCTTTCTCTCGGCTGCTTTTGTATTTGAGTGCACTACTGGTGTGACATCATAGCATTCTTCCTCCCTCCCTCCTTCTCTCACACGTCCTCAATCCAACTCTCCTTCTTTGTCTCCTCCCTCTCCCTCTATCTGTTTCAATGTGATTCATTGGCATAACAAAAACAGCTACATTTGAACTGCCAAATCAGCAGGTTAGACTGATGTTGATATATTGGAAATGGTAATGATTTACAATATACACTGTAAACAATTATAAAACAAAGATTATTGGAGTATGTTTTACAATACTATTTCAGTCTTTCTACTTCAAAATTTCACATTTATTGAATGTGTTACTTGTCATTTCTTTGTAAATTTTTGTAAAATTTACAAGTAATTTTGGAATGGAAATTGTTTCTATACCATTTTTTTTGTGTAGTTCAGCCAATGCATTAAGTATCATGAACTAACTGTGAAAACCAATCTTTAATGTTTGTAATTGTTCGTTATTCATTTACATTTGTTCATAAAGTTTGTTTAAATTAAGTATACTCATATACTATATAAGTTATACTTAATAAAGTATAAATGAACATTAAATTCAAAAATAATTTATACATTTGTAATATTAACCAAAATCAATAAGTGCTGTTAAAAAGTTATTTATTTATCTATTTATTGTTTGTTTGTTAGTTAATGTTTGCTATAGCGTTAACTGATATTAACATAAAACATTGTTGTGACATTTCTAAAGATCCTGAACTATTAACGTAATGGTACAGTACATTAAAATTCAATTAATTATGTAATTATGCATTTTGTTGTGGGACTATAAGACAAAAATGTCTAGGGGGTCTAACTTCAGAAAAATGAGACAAAGTATCATTCAAAGGCAGAATTTCTTGAGAAAATAAGTGCCATTTAATAAAAATAAGCACTGAATCAGTTTTAAAAAATTAAAATACCATTAACATTAGCAAGAAAACCAAACAAGTACATCAGATATTTGGGCCTTTTTATGAATAGGCACATTTCTTCATTGACATATAAAAAGTGTCTTAATATTTATGACTCAAAAAATAATTTATTCTCATTTTAAGTTCATTGTATTTTATGTATGTCTGTTTGAAAACTTTTTAAACGAAATCTGTCATTTTGAGGTCATCAGCAGAAGTAAATGAGTATTTACGGAGCAGCCAAATGCTTTTGTGTTTCTGTGACAGGTCACTGTCAGACTTGTAATTAATTCCACATTCTTTTGTGTGTGACATCATAATTGAACTTTAAGCACACAGACCTATTCAGGTATAAATTAAGCATATGACGCAAAAAACAAAAATTGTTTCCCCCGTGACGTGCATTTCAAATGTTGAATTGAACCCTACGGACAGGCTTTTGAACACTGACTGTCATCAGCAATGCAAACTGAGATACTGTTGAGATCTTATCTGAAGCTCTGGAGACACACTTAAGATTTACTACACCATCTATTAACTTTTATTGCTGTCTAGGAAGAATGATTCACATTGTTATTTGTCTTTCCTGTGGGGATTTTGGGACAGTTTTCATTCAGTTTTGGAAAAAAAATAATGATTAAAAAAATCATTAGATTTGTAAATAAATATTTTTAAATTCCTATTTTTAAATTATTTAATCAAAATAATCAATCATTGGTTACACTAGATATTTATTTTTTTCTTTAAAAAAAAAAACGTATAAATGTTTTTCACATATGTTTGAAATGTATCACGGTGTCTTCTATGCCAAAAACAATAGAGATGCAATAAATGAGTCAGAGAACAATGATGTCCACACATCACAAAACCCAATGACTAGCATCTCTATAGAGCTCTGACTGAATAGAGCTGTGAAAGCCACAGGGCTTGAGCTGTGAGTGTGTGTTGGGCAGAACTGTAAAAAATAAGTGTAAAAATGTGAATTAAAGGCTATTCAGTTAGTACAGGAGGGAGTCTCCACTCCACTACAGATGCTTAAATTTTTTGTAGGTATGTGTATTCTGCATGGTAAGAGGAAACCAGAAACAACAACAATATATACTTTGACCTCTAGTGCAAACAGAATACATCATTACATATTTAGGCCTAGAAAATAATAGTGCTTAACAAGTGATTTTCCCATCAAGCCTCACAAGGCAAGGTTAATTCAACAAGGAAATGAACCTGTTTTACTACAAGCCTCAGATTCAATCTAAAAGGCCCATCTCATTTCTTCTGTAAACAATCTCCTCCTTTTCCACAATCACCTGACTTTTGTTTTTTAACACAGTCATGACTTAAACATGTTACACACCCACTATGAAGGGAGTCATCTGATAAAGGAATAGTTCATCCAAAAAAGGAAATCTCATCATTTACTCACCCCAGTATGTCTGTCTTCCTTCTGTGGAACACAAAAGATATTTTGAGAAATGTCTCATTGTTTTTTGTTCATACAGTGGAAGTCAATGGGGACCAGTGTTGTTTATTTTGCTATTTCTTTTGAAAAAGTTAGTAAATGATCACAGAATTTTCATTTTTGGGTGATCTATCTCTTTAACACATAACTTTTTGTTAAGAATCTGAATAAGTACACAATTAATTTTCACTGAGATTCAAATATGAGTCACATGATGTTTTGTTTTCCTACAAGCGTGCTTTATAAATTTCCCTAAAAATTTCCTTTGAAATGACTTGACTCATGAAATGCGGGTGTGTGCATTCTGAAAAACAGGAAGTGTTTGATAAAGTGTACTGACCTGCAGTCATGTGACTTTCACCACTCTTTTTGAAATGGACCACATGGGTTCATGTGAGTACCGTTCACTCCATGTGAGCCTGCATAGACAACAATGGAGCGCAGTGCAGGTTAGGGTTCATGCGGTATATGTAAACACACACACACACACACACACACACAGCATATTTGACTTTCAAAGCAATCCCGCAGACTGGGAATATTTGAACACAAGAGATTTCCATAGAGTCTGTTGCTGTTCCAGGACCAGGGGTTTGGAACTGTGTTTGTGATCAGCTTCAAAAAACACTTGAGAGATCTCATATCAATATGGCTATCTTTGATCAAGCTTGTTCACCCACACTGGAAAAAATGGTGTAGGCTTTTCACAGTTTTCACTTAGATTTAGTATATCACAAATAATAGCAAAGTGAAAACAAGTAACACACTGAATTAGACTGAGTCTAAAATAGTATTTACAACTTTGAAAACTCTTTTTTTATACTGCATTGAAATCATATGAGATCCTACAGCAGTCATTTGAACCCAGTAGTGTTAATGTTAAATGTTGCATCACTTTTGGTATTTTCCCTGTGTATTTACATAAATGGACATGTTTTTTAACTTTTGGTCAAATTAAAAATAGTGGCCTTGCAACTCTTTTTGTTTTAAGAAAAAGAATCTCACAAAACCTTTCAAAGTCATATTTCACTCCAAAATAAAAATTAAGTAAAAATAAATTCTATTTTGCTTTTGAAATGGTAAATTTTGCTTTTTCAATAATAATAATAATAATAATATTTTTTAATTAAAATTAAGCAGTGTTTTCTTTAAATATGTATTGCTATAATGGAAAACAGTCCTCTGCACTGTAATTCTAAAAACAATTAAATATTTTATATCAATATAAATATGTAAAAATATTTACACTGTATTTGTTGGACTGCCTTTAATGTATGCTGATGTAGAAAAAACAAACAAACATTCAATTGCAGTATTTTTTACTGCAGTTTAAACATGCTAATGTGAATCTAATGAGTATCACCACTGAGAATAATTACTGCAAATGATTTTGGTAATTAACATTGAAAAAAAATCCAGATTCATTATGGTATTGAAAATTTACATAATTATCATGAAAATTGTGGCAGGAATCAGGATACCAAAACGTTATAATCCTAACATTCTTTTTAAAAATATATGTTCTTATTTTATTGCTTTTGATTGAATTGTATAAATGTGATTTGGACTTAAAGTTTGTGAACATTATTTTAATTGATTTTCTTTATAATTAAGTTTATTTTAATTAAACTAGTATATATGATTACATATTTCATTATATACGAATGAATATACAATTTCAAATTAAAAAAATATTGAAATATTGCAAAATTTAAAAAAGTTGTAATATTTTTAATAATTAAATATTTAATAGGATATAAACAAATATTTTTAAATAATAAACTAATTAAAGTGTTAAGTAAAATCTAAGTGATGTCAAAGTAACTTGACTACTTAAGCTCATTGCACTTTATCTTGCCACTTTAAAAATACCAAAACGGTTAAAAAACAGTTAAAAATGTAAACTCTGAACCTTAATAAAATTGCATACAAAATAACAAATTATTTTAACAATTAAACACATAAAAGCAGATGTTGTTGTTATATTTATTTGTGACATTGACCTATGCATTAATGAAACAATTGAAGGCATAATGAACTGCTGCAGTTTGTTTGAAACAGCAGTGATGTGCCTGTGTTTTCAGGCTCTAGATTGATGTGGAATTACACTGGTGCTGGTTCAGCAGTTATAGACCGTATCTGTACAACAATAGTTCACAGAAAGCCTGTGTCATGATACAGCGAGTGATATTGCTGTGAAACTGCTGCTCAGGGGTCAGAAGAAACGCAGGCATAGAAGATGTTCAGAAAATGTGGTCCGTTTGCCTTATTAAAGTCAACAGTACTTGTTCTTTGGTGAGGCACCCAGACCCAGATCGTTTCAGTTTCATGTAGAGGTTTAATGTCTGTCTAACTGGTATTTTCCCACAGTCAGGGAAAGTTCATTTCTTTCCATCTATTCCTCTTTCGCTCAAATTGAGGACCGGCCTGACCTGCAGTGACAACATAAACATGTGAGAATGTGGCATGGGTGGTTTCAGTCCTTATCGGTGCATATCAGTGGACATATGTCATCTGTCTAAATTCAGATTTAAATGGCTTGGTGTAGGAGTTATACATCTGGGCTGGCAACTATAAGATTTGAGGTTTATACCC